CTGCAGAACTACTCCTTAGCTGGTTGGTCCCCAGTCTATAACAATGCTTGGGATTCTTCCGTCCCAAGTGCAGGACTCTGCACTTGTCCTTGTTGAACCTCATCAGATTTCTTGTGGCCCAATCCTCCAATTTGTCTAAGTCACACTGCACCCTCTCTCTGCCCTCAGGCATATCTACCTCTCCCTCTGTCAGGGCATTTTCTTCCCCCCTGCTTTGTTTCAGTCAGAAAAGCTGCTAAAGTATTGCCTTTGTTTAAACTACAGAGAGTCTGCAGCCTCCTGTAATCTTTAGGAAGAAAGGCAGTGAAGTGGATTACCCGTCAAGGCTCTATGGGATCTAAAAAAGAATACAAAAGAGAATGTGAAAATCTGAGAAAGAACAGATTTTAATAACATTTTTAGAAAATGTTAAGTGGATAAAAGCTTATTACTGTCACAGAGCAGCAATGTAGAAGCAGTAACTGAATATAAATCTAATTTACATTACTTAAAGTGTTAAGCTAATTTGTTATAATTACCTGAATTCTGATTATTTCCAGAAAAGTGTTTTTTATTAATAATTTCTAGGTTAAACCTGGTTTGACCAAAGCCCAGATTGGGATGATTTAATTGAGGTTGGTCCTCCTTCAAGCAACGGCTTGGACTAAATGACCTCCCGTGGTCTCTTCCAACCTTAATCTTCTATGATTCTTTGGTTCATAATATAGACATGGCATAACTGTGGCACAACTTTACCACTGCTGCTGGGCCTCTGTAAGGTCTCCTATGTAGTTGATATCTATGTTTACTGCTCTGTTTACTCTATGTTTCTTCTGCTGGCATAATTAAACAACCCCAATGAGTGGCAGGCTGTAGCTATATTGGCCAGAGATATTTACACCCTGACTGATAAAAGTACTAGAATAGGAGAAACCTAGACAATGTATTATAGTAAGACAATAAAAGCAATACCATATCATATAGCTGTGCTGAACAAACCTAATATCTTCATGGGATTAATTCCCAGATAACTTAGTTCAGTACAGGCAATTAATACTATTGCCAAATTTTGGGGGTAAACAAAGAAACTTCACTGAAATCAATTGAATTTTCTCTGCACTGAGAAATGTTACTCAGACACATATAGAAGAGTCAAAGGGCCATATTCTGAAGATAAAATAATCAATTCAGATTTATATTATTGTAACTGACAGCCTGCAGATATAAATCAAATTATTCCCCAGACTGAGATGAATGCACATTATATTTAACTGATTTTGAAACATTTGGCTTAATCATTTGATTTGGTTTTGATTCTTCTGTCTTACCTGAACTTTGAAAGACAGTATGGATGAGGTAATGTCTTTGCTTGGGCCAACTTCTGTTATGCTTTGTCTATACTACACAGCTTTTAGTGACAGGACCATGTTGATACAACAGTGTGGCTAACAATCTGGCAGCGTTAATGCTGTTTGTGAGTGGCTTTTGCTTTTTCAGCGGGGAGAACACTCCTGCCAACAAAGCAGCATTTACAATGGCACTTGCCACAGCAACACTTTTGTTGTTCAGGAGGATAGGGTTTAAGCATCCATGAACAGCAAAAGCTTTATTGTTCAATCATATGTGTAACCTAACAAACTTATACCTTTGAAAAGATGCGTCTGGGAACTTAAAGTGTTGGGCAAGTTTCCTTCGAGAATGAGGCCTGATAGGTTAGATGTAGTGATTGCTTTGTGAAAAGTGTTTACCCACAAATGATGTTGAACTTTTGTCTTATCATTTTCTTATGCGATTTTATTTAAGAGCATAAAGATTGTCTGGTTTTACCCATTCATTTTCTGTCAGGACATTTAGTGCACCAGATGAGTTGCACCACAAGTTGTGATAGGCATTTGTAGAACCCATGGACCTTGAAAGGTATGTAATGGGAGGTGTTGATCACTGTAGCAGTGTAGATATATCTTTAGGGTTTGTATCCGTTGTTCTGAAAGGATGTGCAGCTGGGCTGCTGTCACACTGTACATGAAGACAAGCCTTGAGTTTGTTTCTCAGACCTGAAGACGAACTCTGTGTAAGCTCAAAAGCTTGTCTTTAATCGACAAATGTTAGTCCAATAAAATATATTACTTCACCCACCATGTCTTGCTAATATCCTGGGACCAACATGATTACAACTCTGCATGCACTGTTCATACTGTTTCCCCCTCCCCTTCCTTCTCTTCCTAACAATCCTTGTGCCCAGAACAGAGTCCCATGGTTGAAGAAACCAAAGCCCTCTGCGACACCACCTGCGCAACCACACATTGACTTCCTCAATTCGACGATCCCTGCCCAGTCCTTTCCCTTCAACAGGGAGGATGGACGAGAACACCGCTTGCGCTCCGAATTCTTGGATCCGTCTTCCCAGTGCTACATAATCTGCAGTAACCCGCTCAAGGTCGTTCTTGGCCATATCATTAGTTCCCACGTGGAGAAGCAGGAAGGGGTAGCGATCCGAAGGTTTGGCCAGTTTGGTAAGCCTCTCAGTCACATCCTGAATGCAAGCTCCCGGTAAGCAGCACACGTCTCGAGATTCCAGGTCTGGTCGGCAGATGGATGGCTCAGTCCCTCTTAGGAGGGAGTCCCCGACCACCACCACCTGTCATTTTCCTTTGGGGGAGGTGGCCGTGGAAACCCCCTCCCTAGGACTACACATCCCATGCCTTCCAGTAGATGGTGTTCCCTTCCAGTTTCATTGTGAGGTCCCGTCCAAACCATTCAACACTGCCAAGCCTGTGGAGAGAGCCTGAAAGCGATTGCTTACCTCTATAGCACTGGGGGATTCCCGTTCTGGCCTTTTTCCCCTTCTAGAAGTTACATGGTGCCAGTTCTCTTCCTGGTCCCATACTGCCCTCTCTGGCTCTTCCACCTGCCATACTTGAAGGATTAAACTCTGCCTTCCATCGAGGAAGTCTTCGTCCTCTCTGATCGAGCACAGGGTCAACACTTGGGCCTCCAGCCCTCTAATTTTTTCTTCCAAAATGGCGACCAGCTTGCACTTCATGCAGATGAAATCCGTTCTTTCTTCCAGGAGGAAGACAAAGATGGCACACTCCGTGCAGGTAACCTATCACCATCCATAGCTGCTGTCCTGGAGAAGGGATTAAAAAAGAAGGCAAGAGAACCTCACCCACTTCCCTCTCCCCTTCCAAAGTCTCTCTCTAAACTCCCTGTTAGCACTCACCTATTCGAAATCTCCTTGATCGCTTGCCCACTGCCTTATAAAGCCCTGGAGTCCCTCCCCCTAGCAAGGCTCAGCCAATCAGCAGAGGCTTCTAGAATTCAAACTTTAATTAGAAGCCAACTGTTTATACCTGCCAATCACAGCTCACGCTCCATGAAGGGGAGGGGGAGGAGCAAAGGGGAAGTGGAGAAAAAAAATGCCTCACTCACAAATACAGGGGAAAAAGCCAACAAAAGAAAAAAGAACACACACCAACCCTCACTCACAAAGGGTATGTCTACACTACCCTCCTAGTTCGATCTAGGAGGGTAATGTAGACATACCGCACTTGCAAATGAAGCCCGGGATTTGAATTTCCCGAGCTTCATTTGCAAGTGCGGTATGCCTACATTCCCCCGCTAGTTCGAACTAGCGGGGTAATGTAGGCAGACCGCACTTGCAAATGAAGCCCGGGATTTGAATTTCCCGAGCTTCATTTGCAAGTGCGGTATGCCTACATTCCCCCGCTAGTTCGAACTAGCGGGGTAATGTAGGCAGACCGCACTTGCAAATGAAGCCCGGGATTTGAATTTCCCGAGCTTCATTTGCAAGTGCGGTATGCCTACATTCCCCCGCTAGTTCGAACTAGCGGGGTAATGTAGGCAGACCGCACTTGCAAATGAAGCCCGGGATTTGAATTTCCCGAGCTTCATTTGCAAGTGCGGTATGCCTACATTCCCCCGCTAGTTCGAACTAGCGGGGTAATGTAGGCAGACCGCACTTGCAAATGAAGCCCGGGATTTGAATTTCCCGAGCTTCATTTGCAAGTGCGGTATGCCTACATTCCCCCGCTAGTTCGAACTAGCGGGGTAGTGTAGACATACCAAAACACAGGCTAAACACACAGTACGAAAGCCCCGGAGACAACACACACTTCCCTCAAAAGTCCTGGATCTGCTTCTCCTCTACCTGGAGAACTCCTACTCTAAAGCCTCGCTCACAGACACAGAGGGAGGAAAAAAAACACACACACCAACCCTCACTCACAAACACAAGCTAAGCACACAGTTAGAAAGCCCCAAAGACAACACACACTTCCCTCAAAAGTCCTGGATCTGCTTCTCCTTTACCTGGAAAACTCCTTCTCTAAACTCCCTATTAGCACTCACCTGTTTACAAGCTCCTTGGTCGCTTGCCCACTGCCTTCTAAAGTCCGATTTAAAGCTCCTAATTCGAATTAGCTGGTAAACCTCATTGGAGGAGGAATACCAGCTAATTCGAGTTAGGGCTTTAAATCGGAATCCCTTTTCACTGCCACCTGTAGACACAGGCAGTTATTCTGGGCTAGTGAATTTCTAAAATGGTGACCGGCCGGGAATATGCAAATCAAGCGCAGGATATTTAAATCCTGGGCATGATTTGCAACTTTGGTATGCTTTATTTGCCTCCCTACTTCGAAGTAGGGGGCAAGTGTAGACATACCCTTAGAGTTTATTACAATATGCTAGTTTGTCTTAAAATTAACAGTTTTAATCAAGTTTATTATGTAATCTTTACTTTTCAGTTTAGCTTTCAAGAAAGAACACATAGAAATCTTCCACAAGAGTTGAAAAACATTGAGGTACCTCCAAGTTCAGAAATAATCTCAGGTTCCTCTCAATTTATTGGAAAGGGGAATTTTTTTATTTGCAACAAAGAAAGGAAAAAAGAAATTGATGTCAGGTAATAAAAATAATGCATGTATTCTGTTGTAGATTTGGCCTCTCAAGGTACTGAGTACTGTACCACTCTATCTTAGACTATAGGCCAGTGGTTCTAAAACTTTTTGGCCTGTGGTGCACTCTGCTCAATGCAAAGATTGCCACAGACCACTAGTCAACACCCATAACCAAATGGGTGCAGGAGCAGGCTGAGTTGGGAGAGGTCTGGGCAGGAGGAAGGGTGGAGGTGCGGGGTTTGGGCATAAGGGCAATTGGGAAGGGACACTTACCTGACTCCATGCCCCTTGCCACTCTCAGACACCACTCCCTGCTGCTTCCATTGGCTAGGTTTCCAGTCAATGGGAGCAGCAGGGAAGGCCTCCAGGCAAGCAGTTTCCTGCACTGCCATTCCCCCAGCCAGGGGGAGGAGGAGTGGCAGGGCACTTTGCCGCTTCCTGCCCCCACAAGCTGGATCCAGCACATGAGGCTCAGGACTCCTCCCCACGGCATGGAAGCTGACACTGGTGCTCCAAACACGTGTGTGGGAGTGCAGGGCTGGAGCACCGGCACAGGCTCCCTGCTGCGGCGGGTGGGGAGAAGCTCTGACCACTAGTGATCCATGGATCATACTTTGAGAACCATTGTCAAAGGCCCTGTCTCCTACCATGGGGAGTGTGAGCTCACATGCATCCAAGCCACCCCAGAGCATGGGGAGGCTAGGCAGCGTGTAGCTCCAGCCTCCCTGGACCTGGAGCACATGGAGGGCAGAGGTCTTGTGGCCTGAGCCTCCATGGCCTCAGAGCATAGCGAGGGTGGGTGCTAGGGGAATCAACAGTCCGCCCCCAGAACACTTACAGTAGGCATTCTGTGGGCGGGATCAGGCTGGCAGTTTAGGAAGGCTATGCCTTCCCTCCCCGCACCATACTGGCTGCCCATGCAGTTGATGATTAACTGTTCTGTTCACTCTCTCTGGGGCATCTTGCATTGGCTATCATTGGAAGACAGAATACTGGGCTAGATGGACCTTTGGTCTGACCCAATATTGCCGTTCTTATGTTCTTCTTTCTAACTTAAATATTTCAAAAGGGTTACAAGTTTTAATTTTATTGGTTGTAATTAGCTTTTCATGCAAAGACATAGATTTTAAAATTATTTTGCAGACACAGATCTTTCCTGGGTATATTATAAATAATATTCGAATTTCATGATTTTTAGTATACAGTATTGTACACAAGTTAATCATTTTGTTTGCTTCATTTTCCTTAGATATCTTTCAGATGATGAAACTAATGATGTTAAGCCTTTCCTTGGAATATTTGATGGCATTTTCTAAGACATAAACAAGATATGCTGTAAGTGCTGAAACATATTACATGCTCCTTACCAGAATGAAAACTTTAAATATAGTTAGAGGATTTTTTTAAATAGCCATCTTTGCTACACAGACTAGATAGTAACAAGTCGCTAGCTAATTTATTTACAGTATCTCAAGTCTGTTTTATCTTTTTAAAAGTTATACAAATCTTTGTTTATCTATCTTGCTGTTCTTAAGACTTGAGTGATAAAATATCTGACAGTTTCTCGTTAAAAGAGTTTTTGTGTTACGCATTTTTTTAATAAATTATATGTAATTTTACTGTAAGAACAAAGATACTGTTTGTAACATGCATCTGCTCACAAAACACATTTACAAGTAACTGAAATATTGTTCATTAACACATTTCTTATTGTTTATTTTTATGATGTCTGTTAGGTATCCCATTTAGACTGAATTTTTCATAATACTAATATTTTGTGAAACAATTTTAGCTTTACAAATAAAACTAAATAGACTAAGTTATTTAATTTATTGTATATTCTGTATTTCTTTATAATGTGCTATAAACCTGTACAGTATTTGTCAAAATTAAAATGTTGTATAGCATTTTCCATGCTAAATGTATCTTAGAATGCACCACATGACACTTTTAAAATATGTCCACAAAGGATATACAAAATTGGAATTAGGTGTTGACATTGCTACTTAAACTTATAAAATGTGCATTTCTGCTTTTACATCTAATTTGTACACATTTATCTTGGATGTAAGCATCCTGTTAAAACACTAGTGTTTGAACATTAGTCTTCCAAAATAAATAGTTATGTAAATAAATAATATTACATAAAAGCCTATATTAAGAAAATGTCAACATTGCACTGTTAAAAGACTCAAAAGGAAGAAATACCATTGTTTTGATTTTGTATTTTTGATTTTCTTATCCTTCATAATATTTAGTATAGAAAGTATTAGGAAGGATAAGTCAAAACAGACCATGAATTGGAAAACACAATCAAGGCAAGCGAACAGAAGGTACACAATTGAAAATCAGAATGCAAAAACACATTTTGACAGGCTAAAGATTTGATCCTGTATTATGTTGAGAATTCTGAATTGACAATTTCATTGAGAGCTGATGGTGCGTAGTACCTGACCAAGCTAACAGTATATTTTCTAATTTTTCTCCTCCAGTAATTTATCTTTCCCTTGCTGTTGGCTATTTGGGCCAAATTTGCACTTTGAATGTGCTATTTCCATTCATTTGTCTTCAATGGAGCCTACATTTTAGTTTTTTTTATGGGTTTGAAAGTACTCTAAATTAGTATTGTCAATTTAGATTTATTGAGTAATGCATGTTCTTAGTTTTGATTATATGTGCAACTATACATTCTGATAGTGTACTTTTAAAAATCAACATTTTATGAAATTATGATAACTTTCCTTATTAGGAGACAATCAGCAAGCAGTAAGGGAAGACAAAAGAGCTAAAAACATCTTTACATGATAAATCTACACTGACCGTGCCAATTCAAGGTACTTTCCAACCTACCAAATATGAGAAAAAGATCTTAGACCATACAGGAAACATAGTAGTCCTGTCCTACAGAAGGAGATGATATAGGCTAATATGAAGAGCTCTTTGTGAGCTCTGGGTGATGCATGACAAGGGCTAGACTATTTTTCCTTTGCAAAATTAGGTAAGGCTTTCTATGCCCCAAAATTGAATACAGCCTGAACCCTTTAACCTCACCTACATTTCCTAGTTATATATTCTGAATATTATCTTGTAGATACTGTCTTTAACGTTATTCTATTTTCCCCTTTAATTCAAGCTTACCGAAAGGTAGGAAGTTAGTAATTGTTACTGGAGCTTTTACAACTTCAAACTTGTTAATTTTCTATAACCAAATTTCATATTTCTCCTGCTAGGTTTTCCTCAAGTATGAATTTTTCATTTATCATACGCTATTTATTAATACTCTATCCTCTATGCTTTAGGGGATATCATCAGTTTGTAATTCATGGTCATATTTTTTATATAAAAGGCTTTAATTTCCATTTTAGACTATTGTCAGAACAAATGGTAATAAACTCATTTTACTACCTTCAAGACTTTTGTGATTATTTTTCACCTTATTTATTAGATCACTTTCTGATTTTCTTTCCTTTCATAACAAATCAATCTTATAATGACTTAGAAAATAACAAACCTGTGCTATTTTTGATAACAGTAACAACAGGTTCAGAAAGAGCAACACAAATTATTAGGGATTTGGAACAGGTTCCATGAAGAGAGATTAAAAAGACTGGGACTTTTCACCTTAGAAAAGAGGAGACTACAGGGGAATATGATAGAGGTCTAGAAAAAATGAATAAGGAAAGATTATTTACTTGTTCCCATAACATAAGAACTAAGGGTCACCAAATGAAATTAATAGGTAGCAGGTTTAAAAGAAAAGGAAGTTTTTCTTTACATAGCACATGGTCAGCTTGTGGAACTCCTTGCCAGAGGAGGTTGTGAAGACCAGGACTTTTAACAGGGTTCAAGAAAGAATTAGATACATTCAGGAAGGAGGTTAGGTTTATCAGTGACTATTAGCCAGGATTTATAGGAATGATGTCCCTTGCTTCTGACAGATGCTGAGAATAGGTGACGGGATAGGATTGCTTGATGATTCCCTTTTCTGTTCCCTCCCTCTGGGGCATCTGGCTTTGGCCACTGATGGAAGACCGGATACTGGGCTAAATGGACCTTTGGTCTGACCCAGTATGGTCGTTATTACATTCTTATATTCTAATATTTCACAGATCTCAAAAAATATGAATGGTTTTTATACTGAAGTGTCCTTTTGATAATGCTGAATATAGGGTAAAAAATAGAAAAGCTTGCTGTGTTTCATTAGATTGTTTCATTTGACACTTTTACTTCATTATTCATTTTGCTTCTGTCACTCTTAAAAGTGTAATTTCCTTTCAGAAAAAGAGTTTAGAAATATTAATACATGTTGAAATGTTCTGAAGTCTCAAGAAAAGGAAACTTTTTTTTAATATGCTGACATCCATTTTCTAATCGTTCAGCTTTCTGATTTATAAATAGTTGCAATGCCTGATCAAGATCAAAGGTGATACTATAGGATTAGTAGGTCTTCTCATCAGCATTTAGTTCACACTAGCATTCAATAACTCAATTGTAAAGCAAATAAAGGTAAAATGAATGGATCTCCACTATCAGCAATACTTAGTCACATCTGAGTAAAATTTATCTTACAGTGTACATATCAAATGTGTGCTGGTAGTCATTAAAAACACTGGACTGCTTATAGTAAATATGCAAATCTTCTTCAAGAACTATGTGACATTTAAGACTTCCTTGGCCAATATAAGTAGTGGCATAAGTGCTGGAAACATACTAAATGATGCAATGGAACTGCTCAGAGATCTGAGCTAACTTTTCAGGAAATTTGCTATTTTGTTTTCATGAGCTTGTAACTTGCATAATATGGCCTCTTCTTTTTAGGTCACTGAGTACCATGCTAAATGTACTGCATTTGTTGTATCTTTGTTAAAACGAATAATTATGGTTCCAAGTCTCATTCTGTCCTCACATACACATCATGTAATTCTATTTAAGTAACCAACACAGAAACCACCATGTCAATTCAATAGAAATCTTTTGTAGAGTTCTTTGGTCTTAATTATTGCTGTATCTAGAACTAAGGCAGGAGTGTAGATAAATGCTAAATATATATTTTTTCATACTGCAACAGGGCAAGCATCTGTTTAATTTGAAAAATCACTAATATCATCAACCTCCAATTACATAGTGCCTTTCATCCTAAAGCTCTATTCACACCATTCTCTTTAAAATTCTCACCCCTACTTGTGTACAGCTGCCATTCCTAGAGTATAATACGAGTAGCTGTTTAACAGAACAAAGTAATTCTATATAATATTTTGGGATACTAACTGAAAAATAATCTCATTTTTATACTGAATGTGGATTTTAGATAGATCTTGTATTGAAATTAAGCAAGGATATAGGGATTAGCACTCTTACTTACAAGTACACTGTCATGTTAGTGATAGAAATGTAGCCGTGTTAGTCTGGTCTAGCTGAAACAAAAAACAGGACTATGTAGCACTTTAAAGACTAACAAGATGGTTTATTAGGTGATGAGCTTTCGTGGGACAGACCCACTTCCTCAGATCAAATAGTGGAAGAAAATTGGCATGACCATATATACCAAAGGGATACAATCAAAAAATGAACACATATGAAAAGAACAAATCAAATGTCAGAACAGAAAGGGGATGGAGGGGGGGATGTAAATGTCTGTGAGCTAATGATATTAGAGGTGATAATTGGGGAAGCTATCTTTGTAATGGGTAAGGTAATTAGTGTTTTTGTTAAGACCTAGGTGTAAAGTGTCAAATTTAAGCATGAATGACAGTTCAGAGGATTCTCTTTCAAGTCTGGTGTTAAAATGTCTTTGAAGCAGGATGCAGGTAATCAAGTCGTTGAAACAATGCCCTTTCTGGTTGAAATGACAAGAAACTGCCACAAAGTTTTTGTTTTTTCTTTGTTTTTCACAAAGAAAAAACAGTTTCCTACTATCTGATGGGTGTTATGGCATTGATTCAGCAAAGTCTTGATTAAAACCCCAGCTGCTTTTGCGGAAAAACTTGCCAGCTGTCTACACTGGCCACTTGAATTTCTGCAAGAACACTGACTTCCTACTGTCTGAAATCAGTGCTTCTTGTGGAAATACTATGCTGCTCCTGTTTGGGCAAAAGTCCCTTTTGCAAGGCTTTTGCACAAAAGGGCCAGTGTAGACAGCTCAGATTTGTTTTGCGCAAAAAAGCCCCGATCGCAAAAATGGCCATTGGGGCTTTTTTGTGCAAAAGCGCGTCTAGATTGGCACGGACGCTTTTCCGCAAAAAGTGCTTTTGCAGAAAAGTGTCCGTGCCAAACTAGACACTCTTTTCCGCAAATGCTTTTAACGGGTAACTTTTCCGTTTAAAGCATTTGCGGAAAATCATGCCAGTGTAGCCATAGCCTTGGGGAAGTAGGAAAATATCCCAGTTTTGTAGATGTTAACAGGATGGCTTGCCTTGTGGGCTAGAAAGCCTACTGTATACCAGCCTGATTACAGTCTTAGCTCCACTTGGGGGATTCAGACTGCAGTAGAGAGAAGAGTCACGCTTTTAAGTGGAGGAAAGATCAGAGCAGTAAGGAAAGTGTTCCAGGTAGGTAGTCCTGGAGGGACACTAAGCGTGGAAGAGATGAAGAAACCAAGAGGGGAACTTAAGAAGCTGGGTAAGAAGTGGCCCAGAAAAACAGGCTAGGAATAGTTCTTGTGATGTTAGAAGGATTTTGTTTATTTTAATGATATTTTGGGACTTTAAATTTGGACAGTCATGACTCCAGAAGACCATGACCAAGAGAAATTACTGGAGCAACTGTTGGCAAGGGGCAATAGAGAAATGAGCAAGCTGTAACATCACTCCTGGCTACAAGGAGACCCATAGCAGTAGGTAATCTCTGTTACACAGATAAAGAGCTGAGGCAAAGGTGAATTAAGTAATCTACCCAGTTTCACACTGAGAGCCTGTGCAGAGTTGGCAAGAGAACCCACTTCTCCATCTCAGTCCCATGCTTTAAGTATCCTAACCTTCCTATGAAGAGACTGGCCCAAAGCAGGGCTGCCATTTAAAGAGGGATAGGGAAGACTGCAGCTCCCTCTTAAGTTTCCTACCATAGCAGGACACAGTCTCCTGCCTCCCCTCTAGCCAGGAGGGAGAGCAGTGCAGGCAGTGTTCTTTGTTTACTCATCTTCCATACCCCTTGGATCACAGGAGTAAAAGGAATGCAGGCTCATCAAGCAAAACAGAAAAACCAAACAATGCAACTCCTTGGCCCAAGTCTGAAATCAGGAGCAGCTGGGTTGAAATCAGAGCTCCTAAGTAGGGTGTTAGCGAGTAGTTGACTACTCAACTACCCGATAAGCACAAGCTTATCAGGTAGTTAAGTGGAATTCTTGACTACTCGCTTCCTCCTTCCACCCTGCTTGCTGTCTCTGTATGAGACAGCAAGGGGGGGTAATAGGAGCTGGGGTAACAGGAGCCAAGCCGGTTCCCCCCAGCACCATCTCCACAGTGCCATCTGCCTCTTTGAGGCAGCAGGGGATGGTGGAGGAAGGCTAGGGGAGGCTGCTTTGGTAGCAACCCCTGTCCATGGGGGTTCCAGAGGGGAGCAGCCCCTGTTCTTGAGCCTGGGGCTGGCCGCATGTAGGGGTTACTCTGGCAGCAGCTCCTGTCCATGGACAGCCCTAGCCACTGCGAACAGGGACTGCTGGAATCGGCATGAGCTAGGACTGAGCGGTCCCAGCTTGCGCTGGTCCAGGATGCTGCATCTCAGACCCAGTTCAACAGCCCAAGGAGCAGAAACAATGCAGAGGCAAAAAGCCTGCCAAAAAGCAAGTGTCATACTTGCTTTGGGAGATGCTGGCACTGAAGCAGCAGTCTCCCGCATAGTTGGTGCCAAGAGCAGCGGCAGCACCATGCCTAAGCAATTATGATGCTCCGGGCATCTCCAGAGCTGCTAGCACAGCTAGCCAAGCAGGACGCAGAAAACCCCACTCTGAGGCGTCAGACTTTAAGTTGCTTGCCTTATCAGCTGTGACAACATCCAGCACTGATTCGACCTTGCTGACGCAGCATGAGAGTATGCCACCTACCATATCACCCAGCACTGACACCTCCACCACAGAGGCGCCTAGTGCGTCTCTAGTACACTCAGCACCGAGGCATAATCCAATGCCTCAAATAGCACCAGTACTTCCTGTTACGGCACCGTCAACGCCAGCTCAGCAATATACGCAGCATAGAGACTTATTATTCTCTTTCACGTTCAATTCACCATTTCTTGGTCCTGATCATACTCCTGCCATGTTAACATCACGAACGACATTAGATTTTCATCCAAATCTGAAGATGATCTTTATGTGGGGTTCTCTCCAGAAAACTCCCCACACACAGATCAATCTATTTACGCTTTCAGGTCATGCACTAATTATGGGAACATGCATAATA